AATGACAAGGGCCTGGACAAGAAGTTGTGCAGCATGCTCCGTTAGGAAGGGCCTGATCTTTCTGATGTTGTGTAATGCAAACCTGCAAGATCAAGCAATTTTTGCAATGTGGTCTTTGAAAGTCAGCTGGTCACTCATCAAAGATAACACCAAGATTTCTTACCGAACTTGATGGGGTAATTGTTGATGAACCCAACTGGACGGTGAAGTCATGCTGTAGAGTTGGAGTGGCAGGGAAGACAAGGAGCTCAGTCTTTGCCAGACTGAGCTGTAGGTGATGTTCTTTCATCCATGCCGAGATGTCCGCGAGAGCAGCCTGAGATCCGTGCAGCTGCCGTTGGATCATCTGGTTTAAGTGAAAGATAGAGCTGTGTGTCATCAGCATAGCAATGGTAGGAATCGCAATTAGATTATTTTCCAAAATCGTTCAGCCGTACCAAAAACTGATCCCTGAGGAACCCCAGTGACCAGTTGATGTGCTTTGGATACCTCCCCTCCCCAGGCCACCCTGAAAGACCAACCAGCAAAGTGGAATCCCTGTGATGTCCAGTGATGAGAGGGTGGACAGGAGGATCTGATGATTCACAGTGTCAAAAGCGGCAGATAGATTAAAAATATTAATAGAAATAATTGCAGCTTAATCATACTAAAATAGCACTGATTCCAACTATATCATTCCTCTACGTTGTTATCATAAAATTGTACTTCATTAGTCTTAGAATTTTAATTCTAATCTTTAGATTTGTTTTGGCTTTTTCTTTATCGTTATAGTCTGTACTTGGTGTCAACAGGCCTTTACTATAGATCAACAATTCTAATAGGTAATTTTAAGAGGACAAAAAATATCCTGATGTAAAGAAATTTATAAATATATAAATTTCTACTGAGCTTCCTCTCCCCTAGTTGGGGTTCAGAGATGCTCGGTTGCCATGGTTATGGGTAGCACAAATCAGACTTTAGCCATTTTTTTCCACTGCACGCTTTCACTGGCTATGAGCACAGTGGAAATAAACAGTGCTGATGTCCTATTTACTGAGAGTTATGGTGAGAGGAGGAAGCAGGCAGCAATGGAGATCTCTCCAGGGAAGAGCAGGTGCTCTATCTATTTTATCATGTATACATTTGTCAAGCAGGATACCAGGAAGGTTGTGTCTTCGCCTGGTTTGAGGTGATAAAAGCGAAAGCGCAAACAGTGCAGCCTGGTTGAATTTTTGCATGCCTGAAGCCACTTTTTGATCACATCTGGTGAAGAATAACTCTCCAGAAACAGGCAAACCTTGCTTGTATGCTACCTGAAAAGCTGACATGCTGGTTCGTGTATTCAGAGATTAAATAAATGCTTAAATAGAATATTTTCAACAGTATGCATCTGAGATAAATGAAAATGTAATGCTGATTTTGATTTTTGAGCATTGTGATGCCTGTAAATCAAGTGGTTTGCAGAAATCAATCTGTAAAAATAAAATTTTTATTTGATATTAAAATTGGACAACAGATAAAAAAAATGAAATCTTGCATTTTACACTATTGTATACTATTGCATTGCATTGTATACATAAAACAATTGTTCCAGTCTACAGTGAAACACTGTATCATTACACTGTCTGTGTATTTGTGTTTAGGACAGACAGTCTGTGTGCACTGAGTTCAGTGATTCTTTATGCAAGTTAGGTTTGAGTGAAGACACAAATGAATCCATGATTCAGAGTTTTGAATTGATTCACTTAAGTTGAACAGATTCACACAAATAAACTTGCTGAAGGCATATTTACTACCAGTGTAAATCAAAGATTATATTAAAAATAGATAATAAGAAGTGTTTTTTTTTTTTATAAAATAAAAAAACAATACTAATTGTTTATATTGTAATAATATTTAACAGTAATACAGTTTTTACTGTATTTTTGATCAAATAAAAGCAGCCTTGGTTAGTATAAGAGACTTCTTTCAGCAACATAAAAGAACATCTTTAAAAGATCTTTAAAAAATATTTTAAAAATACTTCATTTTTTAAATGTAAAGATTTGGGTTCAGATTTGAGGATGTAAAGTTAGTTCAAGCACCAATGTCCCTAATATTTCTGCACTTCTAGCAATATAAAATATTTCAATTAGTGTCAATATATTTTAGGTGAGTGTTTTGAGCTGTAGCGACTCTCCAACGGTAATCTAGACACTGAAACTCAATGTAAATTAACAGAGATTAACTGTTCACTGTGAGTGATTCCTGTTTGGCCTGAGAGGGAGCACTTTCTTTTGCCATGAGTGTCTAATCTTTGATTTTGTGCCTTCATTTACCTCTTGTCGCACAATGGATGCAAATTACTCTCGGGATCTGAGCATGCAATTAAACACCTCACTTCAGAGTGTGACGAGCTCTGTGATTAAAAGAGAAGCTGTGCTGAATGGGCAAGCTTTGTCTGGCAACACGCTAACACTTCTGCACAGGTTTCTGGCCTTTGTATAGTGGTGTATGACTTATTAAAATTGAAGACGTTGAATGATATTTTTCATAATTTAGTAATAACAGAAAACAAAAACTGCACTGTTCATTTAAGAAAACTGTTATTTTACGTCTTGATAAACTCTATGATTAGTCTTGAAGTCATCGTAATTAGTAAACACAATGGCTGGAGTGACAAAACTTGCAGTGCATACACTGGAAAAAAGAAATATCCCACTCTTTTAAAGGAAGAGCAGCGCTGCATGACAATTGGATATTTTACTTATTTAGAAGATTGATGTTAGCCATTAAAAGTGAATTAGCTTTTTATGATTCTGTACTTGATTCTGTGAATACAATTGAAGGAATAAAAACGTCTCTAGAGTCTCATTGATATGCTGTTACACTTCGCTGAGTTTTCTTTAAAACAGAAGTAAAGCTATGCAAGTCTTATTAAAGCAGTGAAACTACCTTTTGGTTGAACGACTGTGGGACATTGATAATTGCAAATTGGAAAGCAAATTAAGTTTGATCAAAAGAGACTGGGCTAAATTTGGTGATCATTTCTAAATTGATGTGCAGTGTAGCTCATGTTGATCTTTTTTATATATAAAATATAGGCAATAGTCACATATGATAAACTATATATATCGTATAAAATTGTGTCCTGAAATCAAAGTATATAGATTGTGCCAGGGCTTTAAAGAGTGAAGTTTAACTAACTGTCAAACTTCCACTTTCTTGTTTTTATCTTTTTTTGAGAACCCATCAGCATAAAACTTTTAAGTAAGCAAAACTGTTATTGGTGTGCCGCAGGGTTCAGCTTTAGGGCCAGATGTTTTTTCAGCTGAGACTTCAGAGAAACATTTTTTTTTCTGTTTATTCTTCATGCTAATTCGTTTTTAGGAAGTAGTCAGACAGATGCTGCACGCCTTCCTTTCATAATGATTCATTTAGGCTGGCATTAAAGCAGGACATTGTTCTATTGTTTTTAGTGAATAAATACTCATTTGCTCCATTGTTGTACAGAAGATAGGAGGAGTTTGTGTGTCATCTGCTGGCTACTTCTTACAGTACGGTCCTTTTAAAGTGTTTATGTGAGGTTTCCTTTTATCAAATGCATGTTTAACTTGAAAAGCTGTCTTTTTATGCTATTATAATTGATTTAACATGCTGTGCATTGCTATGCTCTGTAGTTGTTGCTGCTGTCTTCTTTACTGTCAGTCATTGTACACATTAGGATGTTATAAAAGGCTGAGGAAACTGACTGATGGACGTTTTCATAAATGAAACGCTTGTCATTTTTTCCAGGGATGAGGCACTGTTTATCGCTTCCTCCACTGCCTCTCGTCATGCTGTTTCGTTCCGTTAGAGAGTACAGCTCTAACACATCCATGCAAATCACTCCTGAAATAAAGGCTGAAAAGAAAGTGTGGTTGTCATGACGCCCATCAGCTGTTCAGTTGAGAAATGAGTACAGTAGACAGGAGACTATCAGTCAAATCAAAGCAGCAGGACAATTAAATAGCAAGTTCATTTAAGCTAGCGGTTCTGAGCTGTTTTTTTTTTTTCTGGACTTTGACAGTTTTGGTTTCTAAATATTTCTTGAGTTTTAATGGTTTCATGCTCTTGGAAGCACTTTACAAAACATACTGTGTTGATTGCCACAAACGTTTTACCCTCACAACAATTTAACCCATTT